AATTTTATAATTAAAACCGGTGTACAAAACAAGTAGATGGCACAGCGACGAAATTATAATCAGTAAGTTCGGAAGTGACTGACGTGGTGGTTAGAAGTGATAGAAATCAAATCAAGCGATTAATTAGTGCCAAGTAGTAGATAGTCTTGTTAATCCACCTATCTTTTCATTCTGGCAGTATCTCTTCTTAGATTTCCATAATTCCATGGTTTAAATTTGTCTTTATTGTTTGAAGCTTCAATGCCTTAATTATTTGAAAATAAACCATCGCTATTTATAATTAGTTTGGTATGAGGGATTCAGAAAGGAAAGAAGAAAAAAAGAGGGATTTTGGTTTCCTCCCTTTGTTTGGCTTTTATAAAATCTGCAGGAGAATCGGGGAAATCTCTTCTCCCCTCCTAACCCTCCCTTCTAAAAGTGAGGGGATTTGGAGGATAGTAGTAATATTCCGCCTTTTCATAACCAATATACCCTGCCTTCTTTTATTTTTTCCACGTCTCTATTACTCACTATTAACTTGTTTTTAGTTTTGAACGTTCTTTTGTCTCAATAAAATCTTTTATTAACAAAAAGTGCTGTATGGTGTGAATGATGAAAAATAAGTTTTATTTATTTTTTATTATTTGTAAATAGCAAAAACCTTTTTTATATCTTACATAACATATATGAATGCAAAATATTCCAGTTACAATGGCAAAGAATTTTTTTTTTGACACAAGATGACGCACATAGAAAGAAAACAATGCTACTTATCTCGTACAGTCAGATATTAGTCGTCTATTATAATTATAGTTATTTAATTTTGATAATTATAAAATTATAATTTTATATATTAAATGTCATTTATAATTCTATTTTATTAAATATTTTAAAATGTTTGGGGAAAAAAGTTAAATAAAATGAAAGTAAAATTGTCTATATAAAAATATTTTTTCCTTTTTTCTCTCTTGAACCAAATAAAGCAACGTAACATTAAAACCCCTCTTATCAATCTAAACAAAGTAGTATTAAAATATCTCTCTTCTTCTCACCTCCACCTCGGGTTCACATGTTATGCTTAGTGAATATCTGAGCACAACATGCTCATCCCCCCAAACGGCGGTGTTTGGGGGATGAGATACCCCTGCTCCTCCTCTTCCTCCTCTTATTCTTTTTTTTTATTTTTATCTGGGTTAACTTATATCTAACATTTTAAAATATTTTCTTTAGTAGCACTTAATATTTTAAATTAATTAACTTTTGATTCATTCAATCTCTTGAAGCATTTTTATAGTAAGATGCAGTATCTTAAGTTAATTATTTTTTAGTTAATTAAGCATCCTGAATTACTTTTTCAGTAACATTCAGTATCCCAAATTAATTAAATTTTAATGTATTCAGTGTCTTGAAATATTTTTTTCAGTGACACCCAGTATCCTCAATTAATTATTTTTTTAGTAAATTTAGCATACTGGGTGCTATTGGCAAAATATTTTAGAATGTTAGATTCACTAAAAATAATTAACATAGAATACTAGGTGTTACTGTAAAAATGTTTCAAGATATTAAATATATTAAAAATTAATTAATTTATGATCTTAAGTGCTGCCAAAAATAAACAAAAATTTTAAAAAACAAAGAGGAGGGGGTATCTCATCCCACGGCATGTGAATGCCATTTATCTCTCTTTATTAAAATCCATCTCCTTCCTTCTTCTTTTTCTTCTTTTTTCTCTTTTTTTTTTTTTTTTAAATTGAGCCAAACATACCCTCACCAAATGAGTTAGAAGGCCACGAGGGAGCGCGAGGGAAGTCAGAAGTGGATAAGCCTGTTTGCTCTGACTCAGCTGCGAGGCGCGCGTGGGAAAAGTCAAGATTGTCACGCAGGACTTTAGACTTTTGAGATCTTTTATAAAAATAGTAGTACGACAAAATACTAAATACACTATGAATTAAGATGTCCCCTTAAAACCACACTTCCGACAGACAGCAGCAACGCACCGTAATTTCTCTTAAAAAAGTTGTAGTATTAGTAATGAGATACTTTCTATACGTAATATTATCTCTGATTTTTAATATAAAAATTTATTTAATTTTTATTTTAGTTATAATTATAAAATTTTAATATATTTTATCTCTCTTATTTATTTTTTTTTTCATAGTAATCTTTATAATAATAGTAATTCTAGTTAATATATTTAATTAGTAAAAATATTTTAGAAAAAATAATACTCCTCCGGTCCTAATTATAAGACTCAATTGACTTATTTGAGGAGATTAAGGAAGTAAGTTAAGTTGGTTATTTATAATAAATAAGTGTTGTCATTCCTAAAATATATTTGCTAATTAAGTATATTGGCTAAAACTATCATTATTAGAAGGATTATCTTGGAAAAAAAATACATAAATATAAGAGACAAAATGGATTGGAGTCTTATAATTAGGACCAAATAAAAAGTCAAATAGGATCTTATAACTAACTTAGCTAGCTGTTATATTAAAGATCCGAGATAATATTAAAAATTAAATTCCTAAATAGATACTTAAAAAATCTAACCAAGTGAAAAAAAAATCCAATTAAGCGTCAAATATGTCGGGTTTCACGAGAGTGCTTTTTATCCACAGCATCTGCGCGCTGTTCTTGGTCCCATTCATCATTCTAGCTGTCATTGTGATTTTGCGCTGCACATCATAAACACGTGGGAAATATTTTATTTTTTCAGGAACCATGAATTTGGAACCAAAATTTCTTTTTTTTTTTTAGAATTTTAAATTAATTAGATGAAAATCAATTCAGGGATGACGCTCAGACTTTGAAAAAAAAAAAAAAGTATGATGACCCAACTGTTAATCAGATGAAAAACAAGAGCAATAATGTCCTTAGTTACATTTCGTAATTAAAGATTCGACACTTTTATCATTATAAAGTGAGCAAGATTCTTCTCAATTTGCATTGGCGAACCTAATTTTCACACTGTCATTATCTTTCTTTCTCTCTTTTCTTTTTTTTAAGATTACGACAAAACTTATCGGTGCATCTCTGTGTTTTTCCCCCGCTTTAAAGCAAGTTTTGATAACCACTTATTTTCATAGTAGCTTTTAATAGCTGAAATCTAAGTTGACGAAAATGATTGTTTCCTGAATTCGTTTGTCTCAAAATTAGAGTTCTTCCATAAAAAAATTCATAACCCTAGTTAATATTAAAATCAATTTTCTTTAAAAAAATTAAAAGGATAGACACACATAGATTAATATTATAAATTATAAATGAGAATAAACCCGTGATCACCCACTTAAACAAATTTTTCATAACATTAAACTTGAGTCTACAAAGACGATAGCTCTAAAAGCAAAATTTGATTAATGATTTTTAAGGTTGTCTGATCTTCATATTCAATTCATTAAAATTTTTATTTTAAAAAAAAGAATAAGCAGAGCAAGAAAACAACATCAGCAATACAGCTGCCCTCCAATTAAAAGGTGCTTACCAGGTACCAGTGACCATTATGAAGGGAAAAAAGAGAAGTGTTGGGTTTTGTTTGGTGGAAGAAAAGCTGAGACTTGATACAAAGTGAAGTGAAGTTGACGGATTTGGTGGTTGGTTTGAGGGAAATCAGAAAAGGGAGAAGGAAAGAAACGAAAAGAAAAGAAAAGAAGGGAAACAGGAAATAAAAGGTGACAAATAACAAGACACAGATTTTCTTGGTCTGCTGCTCTCAAAGCAGGGACGCATATGCATCGACTTTCCATTCCCATCGCTTCGGTGTCACAGCTGAATCCGGAAACCCGTTTCTACCTTCAATCCCAAGCTGGAAGGCGTTTGGTTTCTGATAAAAACACTTTTCTTAAAAAAATTCTTTCATGCTGGTCGTGAACTCTTTTTATATATTTATCCATATACTCTAAAATTACTTATAACATTATACTACATCTGATTTTTAATATAAGACCTTATTTAATTTTTATTTTAGTCTTAAATATAAGACCCCAATCCACTTTGTTTCTTATATTTATGTATTTTTTTCCAATGTAGCTTTCTAACAATGGTAGTTCTAGCCAATACACTTGATTAGCAACGATATTTTAGAAAAAAATACATATTTATTACAAATAACTAATTTAATTTTTTTTAAGCTCTTCAAATTAGTTAATTAGCTTTTATAATTAAAACTAGAGGTAGTAGTTTAATTTTTATCCAAGATGTTAGAAGCAATTTGCAGTAGCTTTTGGATAAGCTACACACTGAGTTGGCGATGAATTCATCTTGTAAAACCAATGCAATATTGGTTTTTTAATAGGCTTTCCAACTACCCCGAAAAAGGTTAGATCCAACCTAAAGAGCTAACTTTTTGCAACGTAATAAATAAAGGCTCGAATCCTTGTTAAAAGATGTAAGGGCTTTGGTATTTTTAAATTTATATTTTAATAGTTGATCCCTCTAAATAATTACTCCTAATTTTTAACACAACATTTAGTTGAGTATTGATTTAGTTTAAAATATAAAGTATTAATTTATTTTGTTTTTCCATATTTTTTAAACTTATTTAGCTAACTGATATATAATTTTATATTATATAACAATATTTTAGAAAGACTAAGCTGTGTTTATTGTAATTAATTGATTTAATTTCTTTATTTTATCTAAATTAATTAAATAGTTTTCTATTAAGGGTAAGATGGACTACCATTTAAGATTCTCTTAATAAATATAATTTTCTCTGAGTACTTAGTTATCAAATTTTCCTTTAATTTAATCAATTAATTGTTTTGCAGCTAAAAAACACCGCCCCCATTTAATTATAAAAATATATTTCTTTGTTCAGCGCGGAAAATAATAGGGAGACAGAGAGTTGGAGTGGGACCAGACCTAACTTTATTGGATACATCCTGGGACCAGCTGAAACTCATGGAGGGGAAATATCGCTGACATCACCCTCTCTCCTCTTCTCTTCCCTTCCATTATATATTGCGTTAATTTGGGAGGCTGGAGGCGAACGCTTCTGTCTCCGCTTCTACTTGGGATCTATTTTCCTCATTCTCCCATTTTACAAATCTATCTTTCTCAGTTTTTAATCCAACGTCTCCAAACAACTTTTCTCCTTCTCATTTCTTTCTATAAATTGCAAATATACGTCAAGCTTTGATTTCGCTCTGGTGCTCTCTCATCTTCGACCTTCGTCTCTACAAGTTGAACGGAACCCTCGAAGAGTCACAGACAGGTCAGTCTCTCTCTCCCTCTTCCTCTCTATAATATGTCTGTTCCATTGTGCGCCTGCGCGTAAATTGTGGAATGGATGAATTTTTATCGTAAATGATGTCGTACCGATGTTTATTTATTCGCGTTCCTCCTCCTCCGGTGGAGTGATTCCGCTTGCTTTCCGCGGAAAGGGAAACAAAAGTTGTGTTGTACTGTTATTTCGTGAGTTATTTCTTAAAGAATGGACACGCACAGGAATTAAGGCTTTCTTTTCTTTTTCCTTCTTTCTCCCTTTCTCTCCTTTTAGGTTCTTTTCTAAAAGAGCAGTGAAAATCAGGTTAAAAAAATAATAAAAAACGAGCTGTGAGACTTTAAAGATGTTCAGGCTCCTTTCATCATTTTTATATTATATTGAAAAATAAATATACAAACAAATAAAGAGAAAATTAGGATTAATCACGTCTAATATTGGTTATCATTATTTTAAATTTTCCACGAACTGCAAGTTATATATATTTTAAATTCTTTTACATTTTTGTCCGATCTAAGAAAATTTTTAAGTCATATTTTTTATTCTTGTAATTTCACTGAATTGTAAATTTGATTATTATAAATACTCTTCCAGTCCTAAATACAATACCATTGCACGGAGGAATATATCATATTCTTATTACTATTTTAAATTTAAGTTTTTTGAAAAATGATACTCCTGTCCTAATTATAAGACCCAATTGACTTATTGAGGAGATTAAGGAAGTAAGTTAAGTTGGTTATTTATAATAAATAAGTGTTGTTATTCCTAAAATATCCTTGCTAATTAAGTATATTGGCTAAAACTATCATTATTAGAAGGATTATCTTGGAAAAAATGCATAAATATAAAGAAAATGGATTGGGTCTTATAATTAGGACCAAATAAAAGTCAAATTGGGTCTTATAATAAGGACCGGAGGAGTACCATTGATTTGATCTTAACTGATTAGTATGTTTTGGCCAAAGAAAAGACACTGATTAGTATGTTGTAATGCTAACTAGTAATAGGATAAAATTCAAGGCAATTATTATCACTGAATACAATTCGTAAATGGTTATTTTGGATTGAGGTACTGGGTAGAAATAAATGGTCAAATGAAGCTGGCAAGATGTAGAAAAGTGGTAGGGTGGTAGAGAGAAAAAGGAGAAAATATCAAGAAGCAGAATGAGGTTCCACAAATTCCACACACCTTTTCCTTTCCTTTTTTCTTGCCAATATCCTTCTCTTGTTCCCTGTATCTCCGCGTTTACTTCCAATCCTTTCGGCGAATGCCGCATGTCGATGCGATGGTTTCTTGTAAGCTAACCAGGCTGTTGCCTTAACTAAAAGTCAAAGGCTTGTTGATACAAGCAATACCCATTGAGATAATTCTCCGTCGTTTTTTTGAACTCTTCTGTGCTATATGTCAGTTGTTTGTGACTATGTTGTTTGCCTACATATAGATGCAATTGGTGGTGATTTCTTGATCCATGGTTGAATTGATCCCTTTAGAACCAAAAATAGCAATATTTTAAATGAGTTATTTGTGCTGATGTTTGTAATTAGATAGGATGTGCTCATGTTTAAATAATGCTTGTAATTATCTGCGGGAGACAAACTGATATGCAGTTTCCATAGTTCCGTGAGTTGTTTTCATGGAGCAGTAGTTAAGACTGTTATTAAAATCAACAACATTATGTAATCCGTTTCTGTGACCTTACTCTAGCATTTTTCGTCACGGTAATAATCATGGGAGATCTGGCTTATAATTTACTTGTGATTTGGTCGTATGTAACCTCTTATCACGGCATGGTTGTAAGCAGGATAGCTTGAAAGTTGAAACTTTCATTATTCTTTTATCTTCTCCGTAGCCTGGTCTTCTTCTTGTGGTTTGGTCTAAATGAACCGGTTGCTTTTCAGGAAATTGGGAAGTTAATTTTTGATCTGTTTGATGGGTTGCCGTAGTTCGAAGGTAGCTAAATCACCTAGTTATGAGGATCCCATCATTCTTGCTGCTGAGACACCTTGTAAGTATCCTTCATCAAACTGGATTATTGCTGTTTGAATTTTCTTTGCTTTTTGATTGGTGGTATAAGGATCTTGTGATCATGATTTTATGAGTCCATTACACAAAATGCCAATATTTTATTGCAGTGCATCCCTAAATTCATTTTGATAAATGGATAGTTTAAAACTTCTGTTTAACTTGAATTTGTTTTGCATGGTCCTTTCAGTTACAATTCATGCACTGATAGCTGACTTCTAACAATTGATAAGTCATAAGTTAATGGTTTCAAAGTAAGATAGCACTGGTGCTTCTGTTTCCTTTACTTTGATATACTGTATCATGTTCACTCATTTGTCCTATAATGCGACTGGTATTAATATTTTGGGGGTTTCCCTGCAACTCATCATTTAATAACTCAATGCTCTTATGGGTAAGCTTTATTAAAAGAGTGCTGCATCTATCTTTCCTTATTCACAGTTTCTGTAAGTGAAGTAGAGGCCTTACATCAGCTCTTTCAGAAATTAAGCAACTCAATTATTCAAGATGGACTCATTCACAAGGTTAGTTGAGTGCTCGTAAGTTTTCATCCTGCTTTCAGTAAGATGACGTGAACTTGATTTTTAATATCTGTTAGATAGCTACCTTACAAATCATTTTTTCATCCAGGAAGAATTTCAGCTTGCACTTTTCAAGAATAGAAACAGAAGGAATCTGTTTGCTGACAGGGTGAGTCAATCTGACCCTTGCTCTATAGTTCATGAATCATTTGACCTTAATGACGTTCTTGAGGACTTTAAAATTTAGTTTGTTATCTGAAGTGGTTTAGAAATGTTTACTTTTATGAAGTGTTTATAAGCTAATATCCACTAGACACTGAATTCATAATAACCTAGCTAGTAGCTTATCTAGATTGGCACTTGTACTGTCTATTCTAATGGTCTAACCCACACCTATGCTTGTGACTTCTTGATAGATTTTCGATTTATTTGATCTCAAGCGCAATGGGGTTATTGAGTTTGGGGAATTTGTGCGATCACTAGGTGTTTTTCACCCAAATGCACCAATAGAAGACAAAATCAAATGTAAGAATTATTTTCCTATAATAGATTTCATGCATGCTTTTGCTTTTTCCTCTATTAGTCTATTTGCAAGAATTTTATGCTTTTATATTTCTTATTTGATTCCATGAGTGGTTTTTAGTTATCTGCCAATTTACTTTATCGTCTATTAAACTGGGGTAACTATTTTGCAGTTGCTTTTAGGTTGTATGATCTGAGGCAGACAGGGTATATTGAACGAGAGGAGGTATGAAGGTTTGGCTGTGCCAATCTTGTGCGCATATGCTCATTATAAATTGGAGATTTGGATCTATCTTTTACTTTCTCTGCTTATGGTAATGTTTATCTGCAGCTGAAAGAGATGATATCAGCAATACTGCATGAATCTGAGCTCATACTTTCTGATGACGTCATCGAAACCATAGTGGATAAGGTGCATACTCGTATCCTTGTGTGTGTCTATGTCTATATATCTATGCATCTATATATCTGTCTATATATTAAATACATACGCACATACTGTTACCTTCGGGTCTCCTTTAAACCAGATTTAATAAATTTTTGTTGCATTTTCTGCAGACATTTAACGATGCTGATACAAAAGGTGATGGAAAGATTGATCAAGACGAATGGAAAGAATTTGCGTTCAAATATCCATCTTTATTGAAGAACATGACCCTACCATATCTAAAGTGGGTATCATTTCTTCGTCATTGTATCCATTTTTCGCATGGACGACATAGTGCGTTATATTAATGCATGTCTTCTCATTTTGCAGGGACATAACCTTGGCATTTCCCAGCTTTATTGAAAAATCAGATGTGGATGACTTAGAAACGTGAGATTTACAGGTTTTACTGGGGTTGCTTTTGTCTCCAGGAATGGTTAGTGCTGATTATAAGGCGAGACCTTTCCTGGGTGGTGATGAGTTTTACCTGTGAAACTTGCAATCTCATGAAGCTATCTGATATATCTATCAAGTAAGCCTTGCTTCAGCATGTCACTGAATCTATCTCGCCGTCTAATAAATGGTGTGGTGCAATGGTTTTGTTCTTCTAATGCAAGGCTGTCGTACGCTATCCTGCATCCGGGAGAGCAGAAGACGACCAAGGTTGATCAACCTTCTTGCTTTTAATGGTTTGCAGTATCGGATTCGTACGAGGGCGGTTTGACTCGTACACTGAACAATGTTACGTCCTAAGATTCCAGAGCTATCACGAAACCGTCTTCAGTACTGGAAACATTGATGATTATGATCAATTTCCCCTGCTGTTCGTATTTTACTATGCATCTAAACTACATAGCATTTTTTTCAAGTAGATATTTTTCTGTGGCAACACGTGGCATGATGCAGCATGCGGGGAAGATGGGAGTTCTTTGCAGAGACCTTTTTTGACCAACATTCATGGCAGTTTTTTAGCCTCTTGAGAAGATGTAATGCCACCTTAGGACAATTATTATATTCTTATATGTATATAGATGATGCATAGAGGATCGAGCTTTGAGTGTTAATAAACATGAACTTTTCAGTTAATGTCATGTGATTTTTCTTTAATGTCCCGTTTGTAAAGGCCTTCAGCCTTTTCTCGTATGATAAAATAATACTACCTCTGGTCCTTAATATGAGATTCTGTTTGGTTTTTATTTTGGTTTTAAATATAAGACTCCAATTTACTTTGTCTCTCATATTTATACATTTTTTTCCAAAATAGCCTTTCTAACAATGATAGTTCTGGACAATACACTTGATTAGCAAAGATATTTTAGGAAAGACAGTACCTATTTAGGACAAATAACTAACTCAATTTACTTCCTTAATCCCTTTAAATTAGTCAACTGGCTCTTATAATTAGGATCAGAAATAGTAACTCATCGGAAATATGTAACCATCACTTTATCAAATTATCGTATTGATATTGGCTCATCTCAAGGGGCAAGGTGGGGTACGGCCTAATGCAGGTTAGTGATCAGGAGCGTAAATTGATCCATGATTTGTTTTATGGGCCAAACTATACATGTTTGATTTTTAGTCGCATATTTTTTTTTAAAAAAAAAAACTGGATGCATGAGTTGGATCTATGAGGGTTCTATTATTTGAAGAGAATTTCATATTTAATTTGCGATAGTATCTCAAATAAACTTGCATATAATAAAAAAGACGTCTGTACTTGGGAGGATAAAAAACCCTTAAGGTTTAATGTTATGCTTTTTACTAATGATTTTAAGTCGATTTTTTCTGGTAAGGTAAGTGAATTTTTTTAACAAGTACATATGCCTTTTTCTTGAAAATAATTTTATTCGCAGTACTGTTAAACACTGAAAGTGGACATGTCTTCTATTCTCCTAACGACAATTCGAACTGTCACCACATTGTAGTAGATTAGTAAAGATTAATGAGCCGGGACTCACGACGGTTGGGTACCTGGAAATACGGTTTTTTTTTTTTTTTCTTTTTGTGAGCCCCCGTAAAATTAAATCCATAATTTTGGCTGTTTGCTGTACCCCATCTTAATATGACTAAAATAGACTGAGCACCTGAACTTGGCAAATATATCATATTGATATGATTCAAGTAAATTAATTAATTTTCCTTAATTATTTCTATTAACGTGTGGGTCCATCTCACAGACCGTTTTGTTCACCAAGATTGGACGTGTATTGATGCTGATGATTTATAAGCAAAATTGAATTTGTCATTCTTCATTTATGTCACAAAAAGGTACTTGTACATGAATGCGTTTCTCCATATTAGGTAAGTACTTCATTTTACAAAAAATAAATTTAAGAAACCAGCCTTAAAAATCCACGGCTCTTATTAATAATGAGTATAATTATTAAAAACCAGTAGTTAGGTGTCGTTGTCCTTGAATGATGCAGGTGAAGACAACGTATTTAGCTCACTATTTAATATTTACAAACAATTTTTTCGGCACCGAATAAACATCAATATATTAGCGGAAAAATGTGTATCGCAATCTTTTTTTTTTTTGGGAACATCCAACGCCCTCATCTCATTTTTAGTGTGCTGGTAAAAAAAAAAAAAGAAGCTTATTTTTAGTGTATGCAGTGGTTGATACATTAAAAAAAAAAAAGATTAGTATACCGATCCATCATACTACCTCCGGTCCTTAATATAAAATCTCGTTTGACTTTTAATTTGGTTCTAATTATAAGACTCCAATCCACTTTGTCTCTCATATTTATACATTTTTTTCTAGATAGTCCTTCTAATAATAGTAGTTCTAGCCAACACACTTGATTAGTAATGATATTTTAAGAAAGACAATATCTATTTATTATAAATAACTAATTTAATTTATTTTATTAATTTTCTCAAATTAACTAATTAGCTCTTATAACTAAGACCAGAGGTAGTATAACATAAAATAGCCGGGTGATGGTAAACTTTTGCCCTATATTAATGTTACTTCATTAAAAGAAACAGCATTATAACTTAAATTAGACCGTGACCACTCCATTCAACTTCTGTTACTTCACGGAAGCTTTTAGCGCGTATATGATATGAGCGTGACAACAGAGAAGCTTGATCAATTTTATTATTTCATTTTTTAAAAAATTTATTTTCTATAACTGAATAAAATCCAAAACATTTATTCATCTTACTACACAAATACAACAAAATCCAGGTTGGGTCCTTTCTTATTTTGTCCTCTTTTACCTATCTATCGGAGTGAAGTGCTTGGTGCTCTCTCGAGCTTTTCAGTTTCAGAAATCTCAATTTCTGTATAAATTTTGATTTGCTCCCACAAAACCTATTCGCTTCAACTAGCAGTAAGAATAGTAATCAGATTGACGTTTCTTCGTTTTTTCATGGCAAAACGTTTCTATCTTCTGCCCAGGTTAGATTCTATTCACCATACTTGATGAAGAAACCGGGTTAGCTTTTAGTAAACTCTAATTAATGTTGTTATATTTTTCTTGAATGTTATTTCATTGTATTCCATTGTTTGCGATTGGATCCAATTGGACACAGAATTTTGAGAGTTGTGTTAGAGCTCATGTGTGGAATTTCTGCGAAGGTAGCGATTATTGATAAGGCTCTCTGTTGTCATTTTGAAATGGTTCTGCTCATGCTTGTATTTGATTATTGCTTCCAAACAATTCTTCCAAATTATTATCATTATCATTATTTTGTTGAAGGAATTGGTTGAAAATTGTTGGAGTAGCAGATTATGAGATGAGCACTTATGGATTGTTAAATTTAAATCTTTTGGCGTTCTTATGAAGAGAACCCGATTGTTTGACGAAATCCAGCCTTTCGTTTGAATTTTATTTGCTGCATTAAATTAATATTAACTTGAAGCTCAAACTTCTTCTGTTAATGCGATTCCGTCTCTTTCAAATGCAACATTTGCCGTTCTTTTTGCCTTTTCTTTTCTAGAATGAGGTGTAAAGTTGGGGCATAATTAAAATTATATAGTATTTGGATTCAGAACGCAGATACAATTTATAATAAGCTTATGCCTCTTCATGTGAACTGATGGGAAGAAAATTTGAAAATCTCATAATCTTGCAATTAAATATTGTATTATGTCATGCTCAATCGTAGAGGAATTCATCTCCGTAATTGAGCGCTGAAAAATGCTTTCATTTTATTTGTCATAATTTGTGCAGTCAAACCTGGGTGGCAATGTTGCTCACTAGCCTGCTTGTCTTAGGGGTAAAAATTATAGTTGAATTATTTCTTTTTACAGGAATGCTGTCATAGTCATGCTCCGTTGTAGTTGAATCTTACACCTGTTGGTGTTTGTAATGCAATCAACTGATGAGAAAAAGAAGAGGAAGCTGAAGCATTCCAGATTGCCGTCTGCCAAAATGCCTGTGACAGATTCGACTGATGTGCAAAATTTTGATGACAGCGTCTTTTTGCCCATTGAAGAGATAGTGCAATACCCATTGCCTGGCTGTGTGGTTCCATCTTCAATAAGTTTCAGTCCTGATGATAATTTTATTGCTTATCTGTTTAGTCCTGATCAAACGTTGAATAGGAAGGTTTTTATTGTTGATCTAAAGACATCTGAACAAGATTTGATATTCAGTCCCCCCGATGGGGGGCTTGATGAGAGTAATATATCCTCAGAAGAGAAGTTAAGAAGGGAGAGGTTGAGGGAGCGTGGGTTAGGAGTGACTCGGTATGAATGGGTGAAGACAACAAACCCCAGAAAGAAAGCAATTATGGTCCCGTTGCCTGCGGGGGTTAGTCCTTCCATCCCTCAAATATCTATGATGAAATTTTTCTTATTATTCTCTGCTGCACATTTTGAAACACATTTTTTAAAGGGTAAAACTGCTAATTGGATGTGTTGTCGAGTACAATGCGTGCAAAGACTCTTCTGCATTAGAGGTGAAAGAAAAGTAATTATTTGAAATTTATTGGGCATGGTTTTATTCAGAAAAGCAAAAGCAGTTATAGATATTCTTATTAGATGTTTCACCCTAATAATTCAGTTGGTAGGAACACAATAAAAACACATACTCATCAATGCTCTTTTACACTGGGAATGCCACCATGCTGCTACTGGTGTGCCATCGCATGTTTGAAGTGATGTGTCGCTCCCCTTGTAATACTGTTTGCTTGACACAAGCCATAGGTCAAAAGTCAGGATATTTCATATGAATTCATGAATTAGACCATTGAATGCTCGCTTCTGATGAAGGATACCATATTGCTCTAATATCTGATATAGTTGAAAGCTTAAACGCATCTAATTGCCATTTGTGAGTGGGTGTGAAACCCTTCATATCTGTCTTGAATTAATTTTCTGCCACTTCATCTTTATTAAGACTTGAGCTTCTTGTACTTGATGTTTGAGGCATTGCCAGCTACGGCAAGTTTTACATTATATCATTCATTATCCAGCTGCCTTATGCCACCTCTGACACATTAGAATGTTGTTAGGCCTATATATAACTATATATATACTCCTCTAGTCTTTAATATAAGATCTAATTAACTAATTTGAGTGGATTAAGGAGGTTAGTTAAATTAGTTAATATGATATATTTTTTCTAAAACACCCTAAACTTCTTTCTTAATTCCTTTCCTCCCTCTCCTACTTGATTATTGTTGAGGGAATATCAATAAGATTAATTTGGGAAAAAATTGATAAACATGCGAATCAGGTCTTACATATAGGACTAACATCAACTCTTTAGTTAAGTCTTATTTTAAGAACTGGAGGAGTGTGTATATATTTATATATATCCAAATTCTATCTAACCGCAACTATTTTGATGGGCATTATGATCAGGTTTATATCCACGATATTTTCTATTCAGAAACAAAGCTGAAGCTTCCGAGTGTACCAGATTCACCAATTATTGATCCACATCTATCCCCTGATGGATCAATGCTTGCTTATGTAAGAGATTCTGAGTTGCATGTTTTGGATATGTTTACTAATGAACTTAAGCAGTTGACACATGGTGCCAAGGAAAATAGTTTGGTGAGTTCCAGAAGCTTTTTCAGTACCTTCTCCCCCCCCCCCCCCCAAAAAAAATCACCACGTGTGAGTCCTATGAGGGAATTGATTC